GGTCTGCCACCACACGGATTTTACCGTATTTCCCTTACTTTTTGTTAAAACAGTTATCTTCATATGAAGATTCAAAGAAAAGTTGAGAATCAAATCTAAACAACCCTTAACGTGGCAGTCTATTCTAGAATTCGTCTATAATATGCCTTTCCTCACTTCTGAGTGAGGAAAATCTTAAGGAGTTAAAGCACAGCTGGTATACTGCAAAAGCACATGACTTTAAAAAGAAAAAAAAAATCATCTTCCCAAAGGACATTTTCCAAGGGGAAGCATCAGCCAGGGCTAACCATGCTGGCTTTGGGGATGCTTCGTGCAAAAACTACGGAATTGTGCTTGGGATCAAGGAAACAGATTGTTCGTGGCTCCTTTAAGTAAATTAAAACCAGCAATTGTTCACTTGCAAGAGCTTTAGTCATCTTGATGCTTAAAAACAGGTTTATTATGTAAAAGCAGACTAATCTAGATTATTCTAAAAATTTTTAGCTTAGTTCCCCAACATTATGAATTTCAAGAATTAACAAGCCAAGCTTATACGTTACACTTAAATCAACTAGGTTTATTTCTGTCTATAGGGTCTCCATTCACCGCATAAGTTATTTTGAACAACAAAGACTTCTCAAATCCGTAAATTCTAAACCTTCCATATTCTGTAGCTACCACTTCACGCGCCTTCTCTGAAGCCATGCCACCGGCCATTAGTCAATCCAATGACAATCTACCAAAGTCACATACAGCAGAACCCCCCGACACAATGAAGACATCTCCATCACCAAGCACATAATATGCAGCAGACGCGGGCACTGCCATGATACTACTCCTTCCTCCCAACAGCATTATTACCATTCTTTGAACCTCTGGGTTTTAAGATGCCAGAAGATGCCAAGTAACTGGCCCAAGATCTCAAAGCTAGTGAAGAGAAAATGCAAAACCACACATCCAGGTCTAACTCCAACAGGAAGTATTTTCTAAGACATCATGTTCCTCCTATGATTAGTTTGTGAATTTTATTCTCAACCACATTGAAAAGATGGAATTCCTTTTCTATGTTCATCTACAAGGACTTGTTTGAGGACTTGTACATCCCTTATTTATATGACAATGTCAGCTCCGTTCTTTAAGTGGCTGCTTCCACAATGCTGGCAGCCTCAGTTTGCTGTAGTTCGATCCCCACAACACTCCAGCCATGCAAAAGTGCCTGAAGGCATTCAAGGAGCCAAAAAAAAAAAAAAAAAGTCCTTATATGACAATGTCTTTTTTATTATATGTAGAGCTGTTATCTAAGTGACACAGCCCACAAGGGACACAGAGGGCCCAAGGACTCTCCAAATTTCAAGAGAATTGCATGAACAGTAAGCACATTGATATCAGCAAAACAGAAGGGATTTGGTAACTTCAGTGCTGATCAGCTACAAAACTGGACAGACTCTCCATTAATGTGCAGATGAGGATGGTTAAAAAAAAAAAAAAAAGAAAAAGAAAAACTACCCTGTAAAAAAGCAAATATAGCAATCCCAACCTAAATCCAATTTCAAACCTCACAGCCATGAATCCTGAAAGAATCTGCATGGAAAACAATTATTTCTCAGGAGCTATTAATCACAAAAATTCACACTTAAGAAAGCACTTTCTTCACTTTAGAAGTCTTCTTCAAGATATGAATCTGTCTGTTAATCTGAAATGAGAGTCCCAGTTCCCCAAGCAGCATTTAATCAGTGGCTGAGTCCCACCGGCTTCCCAGGCTTTGGTGAGGGCCTTTATCTGGAACTGCTAAAAGCTTCCTCTGTACTCTGTGACCTAATATGCCACAGAACAATAGAAGTGGGTTTCCCTGTCTAATCACTATCCTAATATTAATAAGAAAGCGTGGGCTCAGGGGAATGCCTTCACATAGGCATGTACAGTATCTACCTTTATTTTAAATCCTAATTTATGATGTGAATCCTGAGAATCTTACAAAAGGCACATGAATGTTTTCCAAGAGAAGAATGATCTAATAACCATGAACTGAAGAAAACAGCTAAACTATGATCTCAGTTTTGTCATTTAACAGTGTGTGAAAACAGTGAATTTTTTCTCTTGACATAACCTTCCTACCACGGAACAGCAAGGTCTCAATCTACACTAACAAGGGCTCCTGCTGCAGAAATATGGATTCTTAGGAAAAAAGGCTCATAGGTAGTGGGGCACAAGGACATCCCACAGCCACAGAGGGCCCCGAACTAAAGTTCAAACATCAAATGCCTTCTAGCTTGCCAGGCAAGAGCAATCCACACATTTACATAACTTTATTATGAGTCAATGAATAAACACCTTTTCAACTTCCAAGCCTAAAAATGACTCTGCCTGACAAAGATATCTTGGATAAATGAACTTTAATTTAAAAACTGAATTTTATTCAACAATCTCATTTGTTTCCCCAATAAACAGGCTTGCAGAACCAAGCTGGGTGGCACACGTCTGTAATCCCAGCACTTTTGAGTCCAAGGCACGGATAATCCATTCTGGACCAGCATGTGCTACTTGACTGGTTCAAAGTCAGCCATGGACTACATAGCAAGACTGTCTTGAAAAAAAAAAAAGCAAGCAAGCAAGGGAACTAACGAACTGGACAGACAGAAAGGCAAAAGATTAAAAGTATTTTTTAATAAATATTTATTTCTAATAAGCATGCTTTCTTCATGAGACCAATAAACTTTAGAAAGAGTTAAGACCAAGGAGGCAAAAGAACAGATGCAATGGGTCTAGCCTTTAATTGAATGGGGATACCCCTACACTGGTATAGAATATAGGCCCCTGAATTATCAGAAGCTTGATGCTTTAAATGTATAACTGCACTTTTATCCACTATATACTTTCAAGAGAAGTTCTCCTTTCTTAACCAGTGGGCTCATTCATCAAGATTAGCAGAAAGGTTTCTTTATTCTTCTTAATCTAAAACATTTTGACCAAGATCTATCCTACTTATAGGATTAAGACAACCCCCTCTTTCTTCCCCATTTTGTACTGAGGATTGAATCCAAAGCCTTCATGGTAAGCTACTATGGTCCAGGCCCTTATTTTTTAGTTTTGAGGCAAAGTCTCAACTAAATTGATAAATTACCCAGGCGAGGGTAAAATTTTTGATCACTCAGCCTCAGGCTCCTGGAGTGCTGGCATGAGCTACCACATCTAGCTTTTATCTGTGTTTAATTGTGCTCTTTTCCCCCTCAAATATTACCCCTAGGTACCTATTATTCATATTCCACATATTTAACCACATACTTCCCTTCAAGGATCAGAATATGCAAGGAAAATCTACAAAAGTTGCTCTAAATCACTTATTTCCTTGCACTTTATTTATATATATGATTTATTTTTCTGATTGCTTTGTTTTACAACACTCCAAAAAGCCTCAGCCTTTTGTAACTCATGCCTGCATAAAATGGTAAAACAAAATAAAAGGTATGGAAGAGATATGTAGGCAGACACATTTTTATAGGTCTCTATAAAAACCTACATGTCAAAATATCAAAAATCTGCAAAGACTTCTAGAAGCTTCCAGGACCCTCGCGACATACACAATTTATGCACTATCCTACTCTGGTGCTAATTTTACATCAATATCCTTAATTATCAACATCTCTGTCTTTCCATATCTTTGACTGACTCCTCAGTGTTCTCTGGGACTTGTATATACACTTCCGGCAACACTCTTATCTATCAGATCAAACACAGAAATCACCTTAAAACAACTGATCTCAAGGAACGGGTAAATTTAACACTACATTATATGGTAAAATGGTAACATTTTTACCTTAACTGAAGGCCACTCAATGGCATAACCTGGTATGGCTCGAGAAATAATTACATATAGCTTTTCACTGTATATTTGTTTAAAAAAAACGTGTCTTTTCTGGAGGCAGAATTTCCACATTCTGCACCTTATTAACATTTTAAACTAACTCTTAACCTCAGAAATACTCCTTAACAGTTAAAAGTCTTGAGGTAAACAGTTTTAAAAAAAAAAAAATCACCCAAAAAGTGAATTGAGGTCTTGAGTGTATAGTTCCAATCATAATGTAGCTGTGTCACCTTGGGTGGGTCATTTGACCACCACGGTCCCAAATATTTACATCTACAAGATGAAGCAGACTAAATTTTGTTTGCAATTCCAACTCTAAAATTCAAGGGGATCTAAAAAACGATCAATCTCTTCCCGTTTCTATGACAAGCAGCAGCCAATAATGGCAATCTAGCCTAGATTTTTTTTCCTTTTTTTAAAAAAAGCCAACTTGAAATACTTTCTTAAGCTAAAGTTTTATTTAGCATAATAAACCCCAAATGAAAGTGATATGAGAAAACGTGGAAGAGGAGAGGACGAAAAGAAAGACCGCTCACACGCCGATGTCGATAAAATAGAAACTTCAATTACCCTTAGGCCAAGTTTGTCGATAGTTATTCCAAAACCACTAATCACTGGTTTCCTAAAATAGAAATATTTATCGCTGTTTCCTTCTCATCCCTAGAGCTTCATTCCGAATAAAAAGCACAGCACCTAAAATCAATTTACAACTTCAGAATAAGTTGCAGGGAAACTCCGCAGAGCTCGCCAAGTCATTTGCATTTAAGTACGAGGAGAGCTAAGCAAACGGGCTCTTACCATAAGATGCCAGAAACGCACTAGAGACAGGTGACATCTGGAAAAGGGACAGCATTGCCACAAAGGATGCAAGCTGAGGCAACAGGTCCAGAGTTGGTATCGCATCCCACCCGGGGAAGGGTCGGTCATGCCACTTTGCCCGCCCTCCCTACCGCCCCCCCGGGGCGTCGTCTCGCCCCCGCCCCCCATCCCACGCCCCTGCGGCAGAAATCTCCCTCATCACTGCCTTCCCCGGACCCCTTGCCCTCGGCGGGCCCTCCGCTCCCTTCAGGTAAAGGCCAGACCCAGCCGGCCGGCTACCCGCGTCGCCCCCACCCCGCCGCATCGGCTCCGCAACCCGTCCCCGCCACGGCCCGCTCACCTGCACCTGTTTGCGGAAGTGGCGCGGCCCCGGCATAACCGACGACCAGGCGCAAAAGCAGCAGCAGCAGCAATGCGGGCGGCCCCGGCATCCCGACCACTGCGCGGCCCCCCCACCCCCACCCCGGGGCTGGCTCTCGGGTCGCCTTCCGAGGGTCCGTCAGTCGGTCCTGCTTCAGCGGCACCCGCGCCGGCTGCTCCTGGGGACGCGCTGCTTCGGCCCAAACTCAACACGGCTCCTGATCCGCGCCCGCCGCTCCGGCTGGAGAAACACCATCCTTCCCGCCCGCCCGCCCGCGCCGCCGCCTCTGCCGCTGCCTCTCAACAGTAGCAACAGCAGCGATTCTGCAGAGCCGCGGGCCCAGGCAGCCGCGCTCCTGCCGCCATGATGGGCTGCGTCATGTGACGTAGTGGGGGCGGGGCTCCATGATGTACAGATGGACAGCCAATCGTCAGTTCGTACCGGTCCTGGAGGCCCTGCCCATCATTCTGGAGGTGGAGGTGAGGTGAGCGCCGGGGCGCCCCCTGCAGACGGAGGAGTGCGTGGGTAGCAGGTAAGACCGACAATTATTTTAAATTTAAAAACATAGGGATATATAAAACAGATCATAAAAATCCATCCACAGTTCATCCTGATTTCCTCTGTATTTTTACCATCAAAAAATAGGTCTGTTTTTTCTTCTGCTTTTTTTTTTTAACTTGTCAAAGCTGACATTCTATCAGGCTTCAAGCAGTTTTGGGCTTTTTACTTCAGTTCAAAACAATTGAATGTGTCTCCGTTTGTCATCCACTGACTCAGCTCCTGACAAGAGTCCCCTTCCTGTCCCCTGTTATCCACCTGGAAAACGCTCTGCCTTTCATTAGCCAAGGCACACCTGAAGTATGACTTCATCTAGAAAGACTCCTCCCCAGCCCCTGGGGACAAAAGACTGCCCTGGTCCATGCATGGACTGAAACTACACTTCTGTGTTTTATTGTTCCTGTAACTGTAAGTTCGCTGAGGACAGCAGCTGGGTCCCCTTGATTCATCTGGGAGTTCATGAGAGCTGGCTCTGGACTTAGCTTGGGTTAGGTGTTTTCTAGAGGAATGGTCCAGCTAAGGCAGGAACTTTAGTCCTGAGGTAGGAATGGAGAAAGCATTTTCTAGTCATGGATGACATTGCGGTCAGAAGCCTTGGGGTTGGGAAAATAGCCAGCTTTTCTGGAGAACCCCTATGATCCAGTTTGTGCATGAAAGGAACCGCTTGAATCTTCTCAACTGGCCATAAAGTCACCTGCCGTATTCTCCAAACTCCCCAAGTATCTATCCAAAATGCCAGCTATCTGAGATGCTAACCCAGCCCTGGACACACAGACAATGGCCAGGGAACATTTTGTTGAATGGTAGAGGCAACCACTAACTATCTAAACTGAACTGGCACACTCAAGCTAAGGGCCACACTGAGCTAGAGGCTCCATGGATTTCTGCTGATCACTCTATGGGAAAGGGAAGGTTGGCAAGGTCTAGAAAATAGACACAATCTCTCTGTTGTGCTTCTTCTTCTATCAGGAAGTCTTTTTAATCCAAGAAGCTAGGCAACATTCACACTATAACCTGTGAAGACACTGCATGACTGTTTGCAGCACTGCTGGCTCATAATCTGCGTGGTTGTTAGTCATAGTTCTAGTGCACCCCAACAACACATTACTGTACAATCACAAAGCATGTTTTGTTATTATTTAAGCCAGTCCCAAAGTTGTTTGTTTTTTTTTTTTCTCAAAACACACATACAACGTTTTTCTCCTTGCATAGAGTAGGGGTTAAGGTACACATTCCTCAGACAATGTCTAAAGGAAAACTTTACCCACTACCTACCTCACCATGCATACCTTTGCTAATGTTTCCGCTGAAGACTTCTAGTTGGAGAGTTTGCCAAACAAATAACTCTTTTGTTAACTTTCACCTAAGAGTCAGAAAGCAGCCTTTAGCACAATTTGCCATTGGATTCCTGGGACTTGATGTAATATATTTCAGTGTTCCTATAGCTGACCTCACATGTGCCACTGCCTTTTCCAAGCTTTGCTTCATGCCAAGCATGGAAGACCCTACTGGCTATATGTGTCCTGCCAGAAAGTTCTGGCAAAAGCCTGCATGCTGAAGGTTTAGTACTAGACAACTTGCACTTCTGAAGTCTGGCACCCACCAGATATGCTAAAGGTTTGCAGAGCTTAGCTAGATCAAATGGGGCAGCGAAGAGGGTCCTGTTGTTGATGGATCCCGGAGAAAGCTTGTACCAGCTCATGAAAGCTAGTGGTTAGAGGGCCTGGGGAGATGGCTCAGTAGAATAAGCATTTCCCTGGCAAGCACAAGGACATGAGTTCAATCCCTGGTTCCACCAAAAAAAAAAAAAA